CATAAAGGACAAATTATACTTTAGTTTTCATAATATATTTTTATTACTTTCTCGTTTGAAGGAGTGTAAGAATTAATTTGAATAATCAAATTTTAGAAATGAAAATTAAAGATGKATTATTTAAAAATATTGAACAAATTTGAAAGAAAGATTATACCTTTTTCGTTGAATTATATGGATACCTAATGAAAAGTCATGTCTATTGTCTTTATCATATAAAATATCTGTTGGCCGCATAGGCGCAAATAGTGTTTGGAATTTGGGAGGAGCTAAAACCGAACTTAAATAATATTGAATAATCGTAATACAACATTTAGGAAATGTTTTGGGGGAATTATCCTCTATAAAAGCCCCCAATTTGAGCCTATGTTCTGTGTACAATTACAATATTTTTCATAATATGGACAGATCAATTATTTGCAATAATTAATATGCATGTAAAGGTTCTATCATTGATTATAATCAATGGTTCTATCTCCTACTCCTATGATATTGTCTTTTCTACATTGTAAGTTTATACTTACAGCGCGATCTATGCCACTATAATAAATTATACTAGCTACACTTTATATTATGCTGTWCAAACGGGAAATATCGCAATCAAAACTATGTATTAACCAACTTACTTATTTTTTATAGTTATTTGGCCCACAATGGGCATTTYAGTTGTATGCTGGACTGGTGTATTGTGCAACCATCCATTGATTTTTTAATAAAAGTTCATTCAACAATATAGATGTTATGTTGTAAGTTTCCTAATTGAATGTGATAGATATTGTGTATGAATGTCGATACGCAATTAATGKATTTCATTTAATAGGTAATATAGTAGCACAGCTACATTTTTACAGCTACAAATTTAAATTTAAATTTCTTAAAATAGTAATATGTCGTCATTGAAGGTATATAGAATAATATCACGATTCAATAGTAAAATTTATCTTTCTCTTTTTTAAATTGTAAAACCACATTAAAAAATAAACAAAAAATCTCTAATGATTTTAAATAGCTAATATTTTGAAGTAGATAAATATGTATAATGCTATATATAAAATATAAAATGCTACACTATCAGTCGTCATTGTTAACRTTGTATGCGTCTAATAACTATTAGGTAGTTGTATATGTATTCAGTTTTGATCAATATTTTAAAGAAACTGTCAATAACTGTACAAGTACAATAACCTTTTGTTTTTAAAAATAATTTTTTAATACCTGATATAATTTTTA